CAGCATAACCTTCTTGGTCCTTCACTCTATGTCTCTGTTAATAAAGCAAACAATGTTGTGTGCTGCTAAGTTAATTTTGAAAGTATTTTTAGCCATTTTAATAAACTTTTCTTGGAAGTGCAACTCTACAGATATCAATGTGGTGTTCCTTCAATATAACCTACTCAAGAGGGAAGTATTCTCACAGCTACCTAAGGAAGCAGCAGGGATAGAAGGGAAGTTCTGGAAATTACATAAATGCACTTATGAGTTAAATTATGCTTTTTGAGTGTGGTCATTTTTCAAAGAGGGCAGTTCTGTTAACACGAGAACTTCACAACTAATAGTGGAACCAGAAATGTTCTTTTGGCATTATAATGGAAAATGGCTGGGCACCTTTACGATGCATGTTGATAACTTTGTGGGGAACACCAATGACTTTGATGAAACAATCACTTGAAATCAGCAAGGCATCCAAAACTGGCAGTAAATCCTTCAGAGCTCCCAAATACATTGGAAATTAAGCAGGATGAGTCAAACGCAATTCTACACTGAGTTGTACTTGGAAAAAGCTAGTCCTATTGTAAACCTATAGTTGAGCACAAACACCAGATGTGAACAGAAAGTCGTTGTGGGATAATGTGCGTTCAACAAAATGTGCAAGTGAGAAAAGGCTTAGGATAGATATAACCACTTTAAAGCAGATGCCAGAAAAGGGAAAGACATCTAAGTTTAGGTGGGTAGATACAAGTCATCAACTATCAGATTAGAGGCAAACCTCGTGAAACAAAGCAAAACCAATGGAAGTTTAAGAACAATATCTCGCCATCTAGGAGTGGGAATCTGAAACTACGTTTGTTATTTATACCTGCATATTCTTGCATAAATACTATTTTGTTTTCTTCAAAGAAAGGGAGTCCGTTGGTGTTAGAAATGCAGGTCCGTTGAAGGGTAACACAACAGTTCCAGAGTTGAGAGCAGGTTATAGTCTGGACTTTGCATTTAAGAGCTGAGTTCTTGCCCCAGTGGGGGCTGGCTCCTGGACAGGGAAATGCTCCATAAAGGGACACTGGTGTTTGTGCTCAACTAGAGGTTTACAATAAAACCTTTGCATATTTCAGAGTCTTTTGCTGCCTAATTCAACATATGGATATAGGCCTGTTAAACAGATTGTTCACTCTCGGTGTTTTATCTGACCCTTAGCTGAGCTTCTGACTAATGATCATCTTTATCACGATGTGGAGGTGCCAGTGTTGGACTGGGGTGGAGGAGGTCAGAAGTCACATGACACCTGATTATAGGCCAACAGGTTTATTTGGAAACAGAAGCTTTTGGAACCTCCTTCTTCAGGTGTTAGAGAGAGGGAGAGTATCAGACACAGAATTTAAGTAAAAGATCAAACATTCACACCATTGATGGGGATGTTTTAAACAAACCTAAGATGTTGTTAAATCTTTACTCCGTTAGAGGTTTTAATTGATTAATATGTGTATGTACATCCCTGAATTCCTTTCAAGTCACAGTCCTGAGAAAACTAAAGGTTTTAGCAGTGTAATGAAAGAGGTGATATTTTAGGTCAGACAATGCATGTTAGGTGTGAGACCTTGTTGAGAATCTGTTTGTGTTTTAGTTTGGTGTCAGATTGGTTTTATTTCTAAAATAGGAATTTATAAAACACCATATTGACTGTCTATAAATTGCGTGCTTTTTGAACAAAATAAAAATGTATTGGCAAATACAAATTCACCCCATGGGTTCACGTGTGCGCGCACGTCTGTTGGAGAGGGTGGGGTGGGGGGAGTGTGGGGGTGGGGTGGAGGAGAGAGCAAGAGCTCACATAAAAAAAGAGGGAGAGGGACAGAGAGAGACAGCGTGCGATAACACCATGCAGTCACCAGACACGGATGTTCCCTCCCAGTGGAGGAACACTTCAGCGGTCAAGGACATTCGGCCTTGGATCTTTGGGTAAATGCTCTCCAAGGTGGACTTCAGTATACACAATAACGCAGAGTCACCAAGCAGCAGCTGATAGTTTGAAACCCACGAGGACGACCTCAACCGGGATCATGTCGCACTACAGGTGATCCCACACACTCACTCACCCCACCCACCATTTCCATGCACTCCTTCCCCCCACCACACATGCATTCCCCCCCCCCCAACACCCATACGCTTACACACGTGAATCCAGGGTTGAATTTGTTTATTTGCAGATGATACATTTTATTTTGTTCAAAAACCCACTATTTATAGACAGTCAGTCAATATGGCGTTTTATAAATTCCTACAGAAATAAAACCAGTCTGACTCCAAACTAAAACACAAACAGATTCTAAACAAGGTCTCACATCTAACATGCATTGTCTGATCTAAAATGTCACCTCTTTCATTACACTAATAAAACCTTTAGTTCTCTCAGGACTGTGACTTGAAAGGAATTCAGGGATATACATATACATATTAATCAATTAAAATCTTCTAACGGAGTAAAGATTGAACAACATCTTAGGTTTGTTTAGGACATCATCAATGGTGTGAACGTTTGATCTTTTGCTTATAAACTCTGTGTCTGATACTACCCCTATCATTTACACCTGAAGGCGGATTGACGCTCTGAAAGCTTGTGTTTCCAAATAAACCTGTTGGACTATAACCTGATGTTGTGATTCCTGACCCTGTCCCATCTTTACCACCATCACTGCCTACTTACAACTTCAATGCTTTCCGTCTTTGCACACCTCAGACCATCTCCTGCTGAGACACTAATCTATCTTTTAGTTAGCTTGGAACTCAACTGCTCCAATGTTCTGTTAGCCAGCAACTTCCATTCTCGGTCAACTAAAGCTCCTCTAAAGCTCTGCTGCCTTTGTCTTGACTTGCATCAAGTCCTATTTTTGTTGGTTCCCAGTCTAGTAGTATCAATGTTAGATTTTGTATCCTTGGAGTTGCATCAATTACTAAACTGCTGGCTAGTTATGTAATCTTCTCTAGCCATAAAACAGTTGAGATTGCTATAGTTTCTTCCCTTCTGGGCTCCTGACGATCTGTTTTGTCACTCCAATGGCAGCTGTACCATCAAGTTCTTATGCTGGTAATCTCTCTCTAAGCCTCTTTGCATCTCTACCCATATCTCATTTGAGATATTTCTTCAAAGCTACTTTCTTGGCCAATCATTTGGATATTTGCACAAACACCTCCTTAAGTGGCTCAGTTCCAAATACCTTGGGACATATTAGGTTAAAAAATTTGCTGTATAAACACAAGTCTAAAACTGGATCCTAGCTGACGAGAATTGAATGCTGGAAGTGACTGCAACAGCTTTGGAAACAGAATTGACATATGCGTGGAACCATCTTTTGCATATACAGTAAGAAGTTGGAAGATGGGAGAAAAGTCAAATACCAAATTCAGCAAGGAAGAATGCCGTGCCTCCTAAAAAAATTACAAATGGAAGTTTCAGATAGGTTACCTAGATTCAAAACAAAATCTACGTTAAAGTCATTTCAGAACCAATTGAAGAAATATATGCCTTACACTAACTCAGAAGGAGTTTTTCATATGGGTAAAAGAATCTTCTAATAAAATTTACTTTGAACATTAGGAATTCCTTAGAGAATATCAAACACAAACAAAGAAGAAAGTATGGAGGAACAATATGTTCTTTGATTGAATCACATGTATAAAAAGGAATCCAGATGGAAGTTATTTATGTGAATGACGAAGCAAGAATTTAGTGTATCAGGTGGAATATTTTTTAAATGCATGAGCAAATCATGGAAGATTAATTTGGGTACATTTATATATCTAGTTCCATGTCTAACTATGACAAAATAGAGTGGGATTGAAATATTGCACTAAAATATTACAGGGAGAGAATGTAAATACAAATTAAATACAAACCAATCATTAATATATTAAAGCCTGCAAGGCTTTGTTAACAATTTCAATTTTAAATCCACATTTATATCGGAAAAGGACAGAAACTTGTAAATTTTAATGATATTCTCCCAAGCAATGTCATTACGTGAGAAACTGTCAAACCTTAAAAGTTTACATCAACAGCTTTCAGCACAAATGTGGACATAATTTAATATAGGAACATAGAAACAAAACAACCAGCAAATGCCTGTAAGATAGAGACAAATTTACATTGCGCATCCTCATCCAATTATGTCCTGGTTTATAATACCACTTGAAATCACGACTACATTCCTTATGTGCAATGCCAAGGGAGAGCAACCAGCATATATTAATACTATTGTCTGAACATCAAGAGAGTCACATGTTCTGTTCAGGCTTTCCACTAGATAGATGGATAGTCACCAAGAAGCAAGTACTTGTCTGTTTTATAATTTAACAATTTGCTTTCTGTGTTAATATTTATTCTTGCAATAAATCAGTACCACAAGCCATACAACCTAGAGCTGCGCTTGCTTCTATTTTTGACACAGATCCTCATAGTGGAAGTCAATCACCTCTAGTGCAAAAAGAACTGAACCTCCAAAAACTGCACAACAACCCACCAGTTAAAAGTGAACTAAAATAGACACATTTAAGATGTAATATCACTTGCGATATGAAAAGAACACAGAATATATTTTAAAAACTTAGTTTTCCCTTATTGGTTTTACAATTGTTGCCTATGATTATTTTCAATAGGGTTTCACAATGTATCTATAAACTCATGTTGACTTTTTTTAAAAAAAGAAAATACTACCATCTTAATTAATGGAATTATTCTCATACAAATAATAAAAACAGCAAGATCTGGGAGAAGAAGCAATTAAAAATGATTCATATGATGATCAAACCTCCGATCACAGTTTGAGATGACACCAATCTCAAATTAATAAACAAAGTGATCAAACACAATCATGCACTGCACTCCCAGATCAGAAACAGCCAAAACACAGTGTGGATTAGAAAAGCCACCAGGCAAGATGCATTGATTATTCATTTGCATTTTGGTTAGTGCTTCAAAAAGAAAGGCGTTAGTAAATTATGGAATTATTACTTCATACCTATATCAGATACTACGATCTTGGATAATTTTCTGCTTTTGATTTTCACTGGAAAAGCACAACATTTTATATGTGAATCAAAGAAAAATTAATTCCAAAACAAAAAATCTGAGAACTGAAATGATATTGCACCAGAATAATACTATACCCCTTTCTATAAAGTTAGGCAATTTTTGTTCATCTTCTGAATTGCAAGAAGAGGTAGAACCTATACAGGAATATATTGACAACGTATTAAATACAAAACAGCACAAACATTTCATCTTCCTGTCATATAAATCTAGATTTAAAAATGTAAGGTGCAAAAGTGAGCCTTTTGGTACAGTCTCATGTTAGGACACTTCAGGGAGATGTAAGTGTTTCTCCACAAAGGGATATCCTTGAGGAATTCAGAAACAAAGATCTCCCCATTCCCCCTCTCCATGCGTTACAAAATGCTGACTGTACCATGTATATCTTTAGAATTTTTCTGAAGCATTAGCAGTGGTCACTTCCACCAGTCACCTGACACCTGGATACAGTGAACTATCCGTCAAATAATTATGCATTTTTGTTGGCGGTGGGGTTATTTGAGATGCTATTCAGGACAGTTTTTCTTCTTTCAGTTTTGCCAATCTTACTTGGCGTTGCTACATTGCCACAACACTGGCTGATCAGCCTTCATTTCCTCTTGTCAATCACCAGGTCTTCTTCCAGTCCTGCTGTACTTAAGTCTCTTGCCTTTGTATCCTTCCATCTATCAGGCATTCCTCTTTTCCTTCTTTTTAGCATTCCAATTTACAGCTTCCTTGTCTCACGATGCCATTTTAATTTCTTCTCTGCTACTTTCTTTGATGCGTCCAAAATTTTCACTGACCCCTTAATGTACTGGTTTATGATCTTGGTCCTTCTCATCAGAAGATTTAATTACAAGAAAAACACAAAAATATAACAAAGCAGGGTTAAAATATTAACATTACATTAGGATTTGGAAACATTAAAGAACAACCATTCCAATCCTGAAGGCAGTGGTTCCTACTTGGCGAGAGTCCAGCAAACATTATTATATAATGTCCATTTGCCCATCAGTCTACATTAGAAACATACATTCCTTAACTAACCAACCAGAACAGCTCCAGAGTTGATTGAGGGCAGGTGAAAATTCATTTGACCTTGTGTTTAGATACAGGTGGGGGGAGCTTTTGTGGCACAGTGATAATGTCCCTAACCCCTGGACAGGGAGGCCTGGATTAAAGATCCACTTGCTCAAGAGGTGTGTCAAAACATCTCTGAACAGAGTGATTAAATACTTTGTTTAAGAAGAGTCCAGCTCTAAGAGTCTTGTGGCACAGTGGTATCTTTCCCTCCTTCTCGAAGTTGGGAGTTCAAACTCAAAGCATACCCGAACAGGTTGATTTTTTTCAAAAAGAGCCAGGTAGTTTAATTGAGTGAACAGATAACTTGGTAAGTCCTGAAAAAGGAGCGAGTTGGTTCCTACGTGGGAGTGTATGGATATATGTTGGTGGCGGTTTTGAAAAAGTCTAGAAAAGGAAAAGTTCAAAACTGGTGTTTGTGCTCTTTTGTAAATTTATGAATGCCTTTTGATTATAGTAAGTTATAAAATTATGTATGATAAATTATACAACTGTGGATCTCAACCAGGGTAGAAGTGAAAGCAAGAATGCAGACGAATAGAAAATAAACATCAACATTAAAACTAGTAAGTGGAATGCTGTAAACAAAGACCATTTTGTTTAATGGGGCATTCTATTGCACTATTTATGGTGAATCAGAAAATAGGTCATTTTAGAATTAATATAGCACCTCATCTAGATAACTTGCAACTACAAGTCTTCCAGATGAGACATTAAAGTAATTACTGTCATGTGAATAGATAAGATTGCATGGCTCTATTTGAAGAAAAACATACAAGTTCTCCTCCGTATTGTGTTCACTAAATTAAATTAAAGTAAACAAAACTAAAGGTGGTCACCTGGTTATTATTTCATTGCTATTTGAGAGATGTTGCTGCTCACAAAACATTCACCATATTTTCTACACTGTAACATTGATTTTATTTCAAAAGTACTCACTGGCTATAAAGCACTTTGAAACTCATTTTAAAAATGCACATATTCCTTTCTTAGGTTATCATGACATGACAATTCCTTAACTCCGTTCACTCCCTCACCTCCTGAAGGTATTGACTTCTTATTGACTAGATTCTGCAAATGCACATTCTCTTTCTGCAGGAACAATTAGCAAAGTAGAATCATCTCATCATTTTATTCCATGTTTGACCAAAAGAGATTCCTGAGGATTAGAACGTAAAGTGTTTTATAGGAGGAAATGTTGAACTTGCATCGCTAAAGGTTTGGTGATCAAGTGCTACCAATGAAAAAGTACAAGATAAAATGCCAATATCTAATGAACCAAACTCAAACCAACAAATCCAATATCAAGGATCTAACAGTATTGTATGTTTACCAAATAAAGGCAGCCTGACAGAGTTAAAGACCAGAAAAGGAGCAACTAGCAAACTAGGAAAGAGAATACCGCAGCAGGTGGCAACAACTAGCACTGATACAAAAGAAACTAAGAGAACAGAACTAGACCAAGATCTCTTCAAAATATCATAGTAAAATTCAATGCAACCCGATAGTCAAGATCCAGGACTAAACACAATCCCCAGAAATATTGAAATATGTCAGTTCTTGGAGAATCCTATTCAATATATACCTTGTTTCCTTTTCTTTTTGCATAGACTACCACCTGTCCTAAAGGCAATGTCCCAGTGATATTACCACTGGACTATTAATCCATGGCCCAGGCACATGCTGGGGATCCGGTTTTGAATCCTACCATGGCAGATGGTGCAACTTGAATGGAATGAAAATCTGGAATTAAGAGATATGATCATGAAACTACGGTCGATTGTTGGACAAATCTATCTGGTTTACCTTTAAAGGAAGGAAATCTGGCTTCCTTACCTGGTCTGGCATATGAGAGAGTCCAGACTCGCAGTAATATAGCCAAGACTCATCTGCCCGCTGGTCAATTAGGGATGTGTAATAAATGCTGATCAAGCCAGTGACGCCCATATCCCATGAACGAATAAAAAAAACCTTTGAGATCAGGAATAATCCTCATTTATCACTAATTACTACTGGATTCCGATTGTAAAGGATTCTCACAAAGTATTTCATCTTTTGGGAATCTGGGTAAACTGTATGAAATGAATTGTCCTTTGAGATTCAGCTCTTCCTAACAATTATCTGTACATCTCAGCAATTCAAAAAAATGCTTCATCCAACTTACAGAACACGAGCTTTAAACACCAGCTATTTTGTAGAACAGTTACAAACAAAAAACGTAAAACATGAGCTATTGTCAAAATGGCCTACTATTCCTTCAAAAAGGAAATTGGAACTTACTGGAGGCTAGCATGGTGGCAGCAGCAGCAATTGCCAATTACAGCTAAGCTACAATGCAGTCCTACAGCTAAGCTACAATGCAATCCTACAGCTTCGCATGTGAGAGAAGTTTTGGTGGCCTTATTTCAGGAAAGATACTATCACCATACAGGGAGAGCAACAAAGGTCCACCATGCTTGTTGCCTGGATGAACAGACTACCCTATGGAGAGAGATTGGGTGAACTGAGCCTGCATGTTTTAGAATTTCAAAGAATGAAAGGTGGTGATCTCATTGAAATCTACAAAACACTTGAAAGGGATAAACTGGATAGATGCAGACAAAAGGTTTCTTCCGGCTGCGAAGTCTAAAACTGAGGCACAACTTAAAAATAAGGGATGCCATTTAGGACCAAGATGAGGTGAAATTATGTTATCCAGGGGTTGTGAACCTTTGGAATTCACTTCCACAGAAGGTTTAGAAAACTCAGTCTTTGAGAAGGTTTACGGTAGAGATTGATAGATTTCTGCTTACCATAATGTGCAGAGTAATGGGGAATAAGATAAATAAAAGTCATGGAAGTGTCTGATCAAACATGATAAAATTGAATGGCAGGGCAGACTCGATGGGCTGAATGGCCTACTCCAGTTCCTATGTTCCCAACTAGGCCATAATTCCACAATGTTCTTTACCCCAATGTTATTTACCCCCATCACCCTCAGCTGATGGGCTGCTGTGCACAGAAAACAGAACAAATTAGGCTACTTCCAGATAAAGGCAGCTGTCGTCATCATTGCTGATTTAACATAACCAAAATCCCACGAGAACACAGATATGCAACATGACCTGGCTGAAGTATATTAAAAAAAAAAATATTTTGGAGTTGGAGAACTGACCATGCAGACAGGATCACTGCTGCACCAAGTCCAAACTATTATTGCTGTTTAAAACAAAGTTTTTTCAAACAGAAGAAGGATGACCAAAGAAAAATAATCACAATGTGAAGTTTACAACTTAGCAGTGCATGGTGTATCTTAGTAAGGCAACAGTTGAAAACCACTCGTTTAAAAAAAAATTTGCAGTGCATGGTGGAACCTCATTAGTCCCTTTCAACTTTCCAAAGGGAACGCAGCCTCTGTGAAACCTTGGTCCAATCCTCCAGCTCCAAGAACCCTCTCCTCTTTGTCCCTTGAGACCTTTCCACCTCACTGTAAAGAGCAAACATCTGGCCTTTTCACCCATTCCCCACTCTTCCCCTTGTTCAAAACTGATAATTATTAATTTTCCAAATTATGATGAAACATATCAGGCTCAAAGGTTAACTTTATTTCTCTCTGCACAGATGTAATTAGACCTGCTGAGTATTGCCCATATTTTCTATTTTTTTTGACAGCTGGACACCACTGGCTTACAGAAGGCCAGACATTCGCAGGCACAATACATTATCAGCTGCATATATTGATTTTACACACATTACTATCTTCCATTCGCTGCATTTTGTTGTAGAAATCAGCCTACTTTTATTAACACAAGTTGCTGCAGCTTTTATCACAAGTTCTGTTTGCAATTGGAGTGGAGTTTGCAATTGGAGTGGAGTTTGCAATTGGAGTGGAGTTTGCAATTGGAGTGGAGTTTCTTTAATTGCACCTGTAAATAGACTTTGTTTGCTTTGCAGTAAAATATACCGGTTGACTTTATGTCCTGCCTACCCCCACCTCTAATTCTTTGGTTGACAGTACTGTTGATTGAACATTTCATTCACTTTTTGATTCTAAAAGAGTTAGCTTTATTACTCAGTAGATCAAAAGGAAGAATAACTGAATCTGAAGCATTACGGAAGTAATGTGAACTGATTTGCTGATTCAGAATTCTGTAGGAAAACAGTACACACATACAGAATAACTGAGTTACAGAAATCGGATCACAGCCAAATTTTAACTCATTTCATTGCAATTTAGGATTGAAACTAAAACTGCAAATCATTGACAATAGAACCACAGATCCACATCAGCAGAGAATTAATCAACGGCAAGACATTCTACAGAAAAGAATTTAAATAAAACCAAATATTGTAGATACTGGAAATATGAAATTAAAAATGCTGCAGAAATGCTGTCTTGCAGCATCTGTGGAAAGAGAAGACGTGTTAACATTTTGAGTCCAATAGGACTACTCTTCAGTTCCGAAGTGTGATATTGTACTTGAAATATTAACTATTTCTCACCCTACCAATGCTGCCAATCCTGCTGAGTTTATCCAGAACTTTGTTTTCATTACTCTACAAAACACTGGTCATTTTAAGATCTTTAGTATTTAAGAAGATCTCCAAGTGAAAGGTTACATTTCATTTCTTTTTCCACAATAGTACTATAACATCAATTGAACCACTTGTACATAGCTAATGGTATATTATGTTAATGTTATGGTGTCACTTCACAACCTGAGGCATAATGCCTCCTTATTACCTTCCTCTTGCTCTTTTCCCTGCCACGCTCCCTTTCACTTGCTCAACATCTACACCTTACTGGAAAGTAATTGCTTTGTAATGTATTGTAAGGAGGTTCAAACCATTACTGGTGTCTTGTTTACAGGGGGATGGGGAATTGGAGGGCAAGGAGTGAAGCCCTACAAGAGCCAAAAGTCTCATGACTAATCCAGGATCATTTTCTGAGAGAGAGTCATTTGGACTGGTCTAGAATTGGATGGCAAAAAACTGCATTCACTTCAGCATGAAATGACATGAAACTAGAATTCTGCCATTTATTTTCACATTACTTCTCATCTCTGCACTGTGGAAATACTGAGTGATGAGATATGTTTAAAATAATTTGTTTTCTTACCTACATGCACTGCCCGATTCTATCAAATGATAAATTACTTCCATGTCTGTTCACTACACCCTGCTGCTCTACATACCCATTTGTATAAATACAAGTATCCCATTTTCAATTAATTCATCACCTTGAAAACAAAATCCCAGAACTCTGACACATTTACCTGATGTGGGAGACTTGCAGCGGTCATCTAAATTTGTTGAACCCTCATTGATATCACAGAGACCTAGCAAAGAAAATCAGTTTGTTACCAGAAAGAACATATTGTGAAGGTTGAATTTGTATTTATAAGCCCCTTTAGTGCAGAGAAACATATCAAGTTGCTACAGAATACTAATCAGATGAAAACAGAAAAATTGCTTAATAAAAGATTCAAGTTACTTTGTAAAGCATTTGGGTCAGAGAATCAGAGGTTCTGTGTGATTTAATGGGATAGCCAAGCACCATAACATCAATGCTAACATCTTGTTTTGAGATTGAAACTAATCACAGAAACCAGAGAGGATTCACACACCTATTACATCTCTTGGAAAACATCTTAGAATTTCACTGGAGCAAAATTTTTGAAAGGCCTTAACTGAAATATGAGAGTTTGGTTCATTCTTAACCCTGCATTATGTACAGCAAGAACACATTGGTGCCTGAATATACCAGAGGAAGAGACATCAACGAGGTTCTTGATATACTTAGGTGTAAAAATCCCATCAAAACTTTTTCCCATTCAAGGCCATTCTTCCTTAACATTAACTCAGTTAAAATCTCTCTTTGGCATGTTAATTCTCCATTTATATGAACACAGGAACAGGAATAGACCATCAGCAAAAACCCACCCACCCTGAGCCTGCTTCACCATTCAATAATATCACGACTGATCTGGGGCCTAATTCCATATGCCTGCCTTCAGCTCATATCCCTCAATACCTTTGTTTAATAAAAAGTTGTGTCTCAGATTTAAACTTAACAATTGAATTAGCATCGACTGCCATTTGAGGAAGAGAATTCCAAACCTCCTCTACTCTTTGTGCGTAGAAATGCTTTTGAACATCTCTCCTGAATGGCCTGGCCCTAATTCTTAGATTGTGCCTCCAATTGTAGAATCTTCAACCAGTGGAAATAATTTATCTTTATTTATCCTGTCTTTCCCTTGACTCAAACACCCCTTAACCTTTTTAAATTTGAGAATAAAAGCTTAATTTGTTTAATCTCTCCTTATAATTTGACTCCTGAAGTCCAGGTATTATCCTTGAAAACCTGCATTGAACCTCCTCCTGGGCCAAAACATTCTTCCTACGGTGTGGTGCCCAGATCTGCTCTCAGTACTCTATATGGGGTCTAACCAGGATTTTGTAGAACATCTGCACCCCTGTACTCCAGCCCTTTAGATATGAAGGCCAACATTCCATTAGACTTCTGGACTATTTTCTGCACTTGTTTGTGGTATCTTAAAGAGCTGTGCACTTGAACTTCTAAATCTTGTGGAACATCCACAGTAGTTAACTTCATGCCTTCTTAAAATTAAAAAAAAAAATCTCTGAACTATCCTTCTTTAGGCTGAAATGGATGACCTAATTTGCTTATATTAAAATCCACCTTCCAAGCTTTATCCATTCGCCTATTGATCAATATCCAGTCGTAATTTTATTGAGGCGTTGACATTGTCTACAATGCTGCCCAATTTTGAGAGATCAGCATGTTTGGATATTTGACTTTCCAATTTGTTCACGAACGCAGCAAACTCATCATCTGGATAGTAACCCTGGTCAATAAGTATCCCAATATCCCTACACTGCATTTAGGGCACAACACAAAATTCTTGAAAATTTCAATTCACAGTGAACTCTACCAGACTAGACAGACATTCAGCTTCATCCTCAGTGCAAGATCCTCGTGCAAAAAAAAATAAATTATTATTGTCTGTTGTAACCACCTAACTCCCAGTGATATCAATAGGAATGAAAAATCAGTTTTTAGACAGGTGGCCAAACAACAATATTAATGATAACAAGGTGTAGAGCTGGATGAACACAGCAGGCCCAAGCAGCATCATAGGAGCAGGAAGGCTGACGTTTCGTTATGCGTGTGTTGAAAAATGAAGGTTCCTTTCAAAATTGAAAGTCCATGTGTCAATGCTCATTGTAAAAACATATCTTCAGAACACTACAAAAATATAGCATGGTGCATTTCCTATTTTATTTTATTGTATTCAGGTTTCTGATTGTGCAACGCATCTTACTCAAAAATGATATATGCCCCCTAACCTACCACTCATTCCTTGCTGCATGAATTCCTCAAGGTCAACCAGTGGGGCCTACAAACCAAGTCCTTTCTATGCTTCTTGAACAATTCACAAAGTGTGACCAGTGATTGAAGAAAGAATACCACGTTCAGCTACTTAGAACTTATAAATGATACGACAAATAGGTGAAGCAACAGAGTCAGAGGCTGAATTAGGAGGAAAGAGCAGAGAAGTCTAGCCTCTTCAGTCCTGAAAGGGGTCTGGGATGGATCCATTATAGGGACGGATCCATTATAGGGACAAAACAAATAAAAATAGATAACAGAATTATTCAGATGCTAACTGTTGCTGTACCTGAATAACCATCTTCTGCTTCAGTTGGACACTCCGGTTGTATTGAAAAATAAATGTTTGGTGATTGTGCTTTTGACAAGTAATTTTATAGGCCAAACCAGGAATCTGTCACCACTTAGTTGATGGCATGATTAACAGGGTACAAACATGGTAACATCAATTCTCCATGTGATATGTTCTCCACAGGTGCTACAGCTGCAGATTTCAAAAAACAACTCAACCTGCTTAACATGAAGTATACTCTTATACAGCAGCTACTGACACAAAGCTAGTCCAGAGTATCTACAAGCATTATGCAACCAATGTAGGTAGCTGCAACAGACTAATCTTCACAAATTATTACATGTGCAAAGATTAAAAAAGGGACCTAGCAGGTTGATAATGATTTTGGCATCTGAGCTACATCAACTTAAAATTCCAAACACAAAAAACAAAAATTTCTGTCAGGAGATAACTTAGATACAAAGAATGCAGTCTTTTTACAGGCTCTACATAAACTAGAAAAAAACCACACCTGCACACCCATCAGCATACCTTAGGATGCAATGGAAAAAAGAACTATACCAAGATGATCTTTTGACTGTGATAAGCTTCGGACCAAAGCAGAGAACATAGTAGTAGATACGGCAATTCATAAATAAAAAAGTGATAAACTAAAAATCAAACATAACTGGGATCTATTTCCTTAACTTTTCTGTGACCTCAAACCAAAGTGTATGACACCTTGGAAAACCACATTTTGAAGCAGAATTTAAGGCTTGAAGACAAATACGTTAATAGTTATTGAGAAGAGTGCAGGCTGTTTAGGAGTTTTTAAAAAAAAAGAGGCCCTACAAGCTCTATTAACCTTGTCAATTAACTGATTTGTATTTAATGAGAGCATTAAAATTATTGTAGAATTAAAAGTCACTGAATTATGAAGGTCAATGTAAAATAGAAATAATAACAATGAGGATCAGAGGATCTCAGTGCTGCGTGGCCACTTTACAAATTAAATTAAAGTACAATCCTGACACTTGCAGTAGCTACTAGTTACAGCTAATCTGAGAATGCCCTGTTTTTAACCAACTCTGTTTTCGGTCTCTTCACCAACTGTCAACACGTCAGTATATTGTTACTTCCAATCTCATTGAGATCTTATCCACACACACCCTAACAATTTAAACAACTATAACCATTGGTTTCCCCCTTTTCTACTCTGCTAGTTACACACCCTCCCAAAAAATCTGCAACAGGCTTAAGGAAGGGTCACCTGACCCGAAACGTTAACTGATTTCTCCTCACAGATGCTGCCAGATCTGCTGAGCTTTTCCAGCAACTTCTGTTGTTTCTGATTTCTTTTTCAGAAATCCATGTTGACCTTGCCCAATCCTACCATTACTTTCTAAATGTTCAGTTTTCACATCTTTGTCATAAATTCTAATATGTTTCCTACTACTGATGTAAGGCCAACTAACCTGTGAATTTCTCATTTTATCTCGTCTTCCTCTAAGTAAGAGGTTTATATTTGCTACTTTCCAAACTGCAGGAACCATTTCAGAGTCGGCAGAATTTTGGAAGATGATTGCCAATGACATCCACCATCTTTTATAGGTATTGTTTTCAGCACTTTGGAATGTAGATCATCAGATCTGGTTACAGGCTGCAATTCCTCATTCCAGTTAGACAATTGCAACAGTTAAGGCTCCTCCACATCTACTTTCTAGAACCCTATACCAACCTCACTTGCAGTCATACCGATCCATTCCACGAACCAAATCAGATGTGCCTAAGCTAAAGGATGTAGTGGTCTCCTGGAAGCGTGTCTAGGTAATTATTTTCCTCCTCAGGTGTGTCGCAGTGTCTGCAGCACTGCTTTCAGCTCACAACTCTGAGCCGAAATTCATCAAGCTGCAGACAGGTTTGCCTTGGATCATTTAGGTGTCCACATTCATGCAGCTGTCCTGCTATCTTTATATTGTTTAATAAATTAAAATTTAATCTGTAAAATAATGTCTTTAGTCCTTCCTGTGCTTATACTCTTAGTATTTCAAAAATAAAAATTGAAATGACTTTCCCTTGTTGACCCAATGTAAACTTAGTATGCAACATCAGTTTGTAACCAGTCTTTACACCATATATCTCCTTTATTTTAATTAACCCAACAATACAATTCAGCATTTTAGTCATTGCACTCATTTTGCCTTTACAGCAATTATAAGTGTTAAGCAAAGTGCAGTTACACATCATTTTGTGTTTCATCTTTAGCTGTTTCTTTCAATCATACAGAATGGGAGGTCTTTCACCTCAAAATACCTGTTCTGGCTCCTGCTAGATCTATCCACATTTTTGTATTGAATTATACCAGCCACTGATTGGTACAATAACCAAATTTTCATAATTCAGAGTAATTATATTTTTCATTATTTGACTGCTTTTCCTTAACATGAGAGAGGTTAACTATTTGCATAGTATCATAGAAGAATATAGCATAAAGGGAGGCCACAATCAGCTGAGCCTATGCTATTTTCTTTCCAATTTCTGATGCCAATTCATATACAGATTAGAGATACTAATGTAAAAGTCAGAGCAAGAATAGGCCATCTGGCCTCAGAGTTCACCTGTGATTGCATTGAATGTTATGCAGTCAAGGCCTTAACTCTACTTTGTTTATATGCACCCGTCCCCAAACACCCCTTCTAGATCGAAATCTGAGAACCAGAATCTTAGAAGTCACAGCTACAATCCTGGAACATCTCACTTAGCTTCTAATGGCCAATGAACAAGTTCACACTGCTCATTTTCCTTCAGCCAATTCCTTATACAGGACCATTTGTTTCAATTTTAGTAAGTGCCTTTAATGAGAAGTATTGTGGAAGTATTCAACAGCTTGCAAAATCAAATATTGTTTTATTCCAGGGTTAATAAAAAGCAGACATTTCCTGAACTCAGCCTGATGATAATGCTCCCTTTAACACAGAACATTTCTTTCACAGCAGTGACGATTGCCGCTCAGCATTTTATGCTGTCTTACAAAATCTGGACATGAGCAATCAGTTCACTGTACTGGGATGTTTTCCAATTAAAGCTACCACACACAGGTTTCTTCTCATCAAGATTATGCATCTACTGAGCAGGTTCATCTTAGCCTGAGCTGGTGTTATACAAGTAAAACATCAGCGCTTACCTCCTGAGGTTTGCCGTGTTTTGCGTGGGGACTTTGGTTGTCTCTGATAAGGATCATTCGATCCATATAATTCAATCGTGCCCAGATTTAGTAGTACAGTTTTCTGAATGTAATCAACCATTGCAATGCCGTTACAGTTTCCGAACACCAAACTAAAGAGAAAAATGCATTATTAGTACAATATCTTCTGTACACAAGCTGAAAACCTGCTTCCTTCTTCGTGAATGTGCACCTGGAACGTATGGACGGTTGGCTGGAAAGGACAACGGAGTATATTCTAACAATGATTAACATATATCCCCAGTTCGAACATTACAAACAAAGACTATTTGTGCTTCAGTAGGAGTGTAGAACAACATACCATCTTTAGAATCCGATATCCCCCCCAAAAAAAGGACTGGATTAATGGTCTGCACTCTTGGCCATGTCCAGGCAAAAGACAAGAGTGCATCACTCGCAACCACCTTCAGCCACCTGTGAGAAATTGATAATTCATCTCAGCCTCCTCCCGAGATCCCGAACATCAGAAAAACCAGTCTTCAGCCAAAATATTTCATTCCAAGTGATCTCAAAAAATGGCCGAGAGGACTGGACAGAAGAAATGTTATAGGCCTCAATAACATGTATTGGTTGCAGCTCTGAAAATTTGTGCTCCAGAATTAGCCCCTAGGTCCAAGTACAGACACAACACTGGCATCCACTTGACAAAGTACACAATTACCCAGATGGGTGTCATCCACAGAAATGTAGCACAAATCCAATTGGCCAATCACCAGTCCATTTCCTACCTTCAATATTAGCAAAGATGATGCAAAGTGTCATCGATAGTGCTAGCAATCAGAATGCCCCAAACAATAATTTGCTAATCAATGCTCAATAAGTTTTACCAAGATCACAACTCAATACAGCCTTGGACAGAAAGAAAAATTTGAGACGTGATGAGTGATTGCCCTGCACATCAATACAGTATTTCACCAAAAACACAAAAGCAGCTAAGGAAAATTGAAGTCAGTGGAAATCTAGGCAAAAGTTATCCCTCTCTAGTTGTTTAAATGGGGTTCTGGATGAGTTGTTTGTCAGTTATGAAAGTCAACAGCATACATTAGGGAAATTTGCTTTGGACTTTACACATTTGTACCGGATTTCTGGAACACAGCAACCAGGTCAGAATGCTCATCAAAAAGGAAAGCATGATTAAATTTGGTCCAAAAGGTAGGTTTTGAGAAGCGTTTTATAGGAGGAGTGGGTGAGGGAGAGAGAGGGTGAAGGAGTAAGGGGCAAGGCCTAGGAGAAGAGAAGGAGGGCATGTAAGACAGTGAGATACATTGGCAGTTAGAATTGCATTACAGATCAGCATGATTTCACTGATTGACACTAGATGACCTACCCTTGTTCTTATGCCCCCCGAGGTTTAGGAAGTTAATTCAAGCTACACAAGTGATAGGCAATGATCATTTCTATAAACAGATTTCAAACGTCTCCCTTTGATGTTTAACCACATTACCATCACTGAAACCCCAGCATCTATATTCTGGGAAGTTATCTATGCTCAGATATTGAACTGGATCAGTTAAATAAATATTATAACTGGAAAAACATGCCGGAGCCTTGAATTCTGAGGAACGTAACTCATCTCTTGATACCACATCCCAAAGCCTGAATACAACTTACATGGCACATGTCAGGAGCATGTTGAAATACTCTGATGCCTAGGCGAGTATGGCCCACCACTCAGGAAGCTGGACAGCATCCAGAACAAAACAGGACACCCCCTCAGCACCCCATCCACCACCTAAAATATTAACTCACTCCATTGATGCAGAGGCAGCAGTAAGCACATGTGCAAGGTGCGCTCACCAAGTCGCCTTAAACATTAGCTCCTGCTCATTTTCAACACCTGGAAGGGGAAACAGAGGAATACCACCTGCTGCAAGTTTTATCCTGTCCCTGTGTCCCCAGGTCAATTGTGTGAACTTACACCAGATGGGCTGCTATGGTTCCTTCACTAACATTTTCTCAAAGGCAGTCAAAGCTGGGCAACAAATGCTGGCCTTGTCAGCAACACTCAGATCCCAGGGGCAAACAAAAAGTAACAGGCAATGTCACTGATAGCATGGTCAATGGGCTCAAATAGTTTGCCAGCCATTAGGTTCAACCTCAAAGTGATTATGTAGAAGGAAGCAGCCAGTAGCTTTAGAATGGAGATAGTGGTGGAGATTGAAGACAACAGCTTCAGTGCTTTAGTAAGTAACCAGAGTAAATTTCCACCCATCTAATCCTTGGTGTCACACAAACATACAAATTATAAAGGATAGGCCATTCAGCTCCTCAAGCCTGCCCCACCATTCAATAAGATCACAGCTGATCTGACTGTACCCTTACCTGAGTTCTTGGCTAGCCTGACAACATTTCGCCCTCTTCCTTAACAAGTAGTCAGGCAATCTGGGACAAGTCAGAGGCAGTGGAAGGAATGAAATGTGGTAGTGAGATCAGGTTGGATCTTATTTGAGAATATGCAAAATGTGATAGACTGTTTTTGGATGAAGTTGCATATAAACAAGAAATAGGAAGGGGGTCACTGATAGATCCGCAGGACTTATAAAAGCAATGGCATAAGAGTAGGAAGGGAAGCCATTGCAGGTGATTTACAGGAGGAACAAATGCCAAGCAGCAAAGAGAGGAGAAATTAAGAGTGTTTTGAAAATGTAGACACAGGGTCAGAAAGAGGACAGTGTAAGAAAAGGTGGGGTACTAACTCTAACTCTATCAGTGAGAACATACAGACGAATGTTGGCCAGAATGGTGGATACAGTCTCTGGCAGAAATTAAGGATTACCGGGAATGAACAGGTTAGTACCTAGTCTCACCTCATTCAGAAAGAGGAGGATTGATTTGGAACAAAAAAGTTAACTTGAGATCTAATGGAACCAAAGCAGGAAGCATATTCAGCAGTAGTGCAACATTCTATTTTAACCAACAGAATTTAGGAAAGTACGACGCAGTTTATTGCGCATAGATGATCAAGAGACTTATTAACAGTAAGATAGGTACTCACAGTCCATATGATGAATTCACTGCCAGGCTGCTTATTTGCTGCGGAGGTTCGCCATTAACCCAAACCAGCTGAATCACCACTTCAGCCTGATAGCCTGCCCCTTGTTTTAATGGAGTACTTCTAATTCTAGAGAAGAAAATGCATATTAGATCAGTAAGATACCTTTAAAGGTTGCGCTAATTGCATTGAGTCTAATTAATGTCTTCTATTGCTTGGAATTGTCCTTGGATCTAATTTAGATGAAAATAAACCACCTTCAAATCACATTAACTAAACAAACAGGAAGGTTTGAACTTTCTCATCAACATTTCTTCTTTGTTCTCATCCGTGATGGGTTCCATAAGCATAGGCTTGCCTCAATATATGGATGGAATGGAGAACACATCTAAGCCTGACTCTGACCACACCCAAGAGCCTTTGTTAATCGTAGCGGAGACAAAAATGTTCTAGTCAGATTAAAATGCCAGATGAAGAAATCCTATATTACCAAATGGAGGTCATCTCAGTGTCAACTGGGGATTAGAACTTGGGGGAATGCTGGAGAAACCTCACAGCAGGTCAGAACCTTAGTTCTGAAGAGGCATACCAGACTCAAAATGTTTCTCTCTGCACAGATGCTTTCAGGCCTGCTGAGTTTCTCCAGCATTCTCTGTTAGTTTCAGATTTCCAGCCTTCACAGTATTTGCTTTTGTCTGATAGAATGAGGCGCCCTTTCTGGTTCAGCTACAGTTTCAAACTGTCTAATGGTAAATTTGGTTTTCAAGTACAAATTGCATGAAGGCCATTCTGCAGTACTGTACCAGAGAGCGCAGAACGAGCAGTATATGAATCATTTCAACTTTTTTTTTTATTTGAAGCAATTCAGTAATTCAAAAGGTGACCTTTTTTTGTTAAATATGAAAAGTTAGCCCTTGATCAATGTGTATCTAGGTGGTAATGCTGGTTATGCTTCAGGCCTTACAATCCAAAAGCCTGAACACTTCTTTTCCTTTTATAATTTGGGATGTTTGGCAGTGTTCCACTAGGTTTATGGATGCTAAGGTTGATATTAATGTTCTTGTGTAAATAGGATACCACGGATGAGTGTTTTGGAAGGGATTCTGGGATGGGATTTCCACCTCTTGTATTTTTTTTCCTATCTCCATTTTGAGTTTGTTTTCAAAAGGTGGGGTGGGTGGGGGGTCCGCTCATTTTTGATTTGGTAAAACATTGTTTACTGGAGATAAATTCACTTCAAGCCTTTAAAAATTGTGAAGTGGTACGGAGGTCACACGTCAATTGACATGCCTGAAAACAGCTGCCACATTCAAATAATGCAAAAATATTTATTAACTTATCTAAACTCATTCCATTTTGGTCAATTCTTGTCAGATAAACACGGAAAGGGACTGGACACATTTAACCCGAAGTTCAAATGTTATCACAGCACACTTTATATACAGTTCAATACTGCAAAAGGAAATTAGAGGTAAGTGAAAACTGAGGCGCTGGCATTGGAAGCTATTGACTTGCTTGGATTTATATTTATAACCTAACACAGCGAAACTATTACATTAACTGTGAAATTGTTTCATCTTTAGCTTGTAGAGCTTACAAACAGGATTTGAAATCCATCTTAACTGAGGGTAATGGAAATTTGTTTTCTCCTTGCAATGCAGTGACCAATTTTTCACATTTATTTACAATCGCCCATAATAATTTATAATATTCTTATTGAAACTCAAAAGGAACATGATATAAACAAAGTTTGCTTTAAGCGTTATCTTTTCAACCCTCAAACCCAGTGCCCAGAACTAACCTACACAAAAATACAACATCCCCCAGCATTCCCATATTTGACAATTAAGGTAAGGCCTTCTAGTACATTCATGACCATTGACAGTTTGAATGGAGGAGCTGCACACACAGTTTTAAAGGGCTGTCATTTCCCAAAGCAGAGGTAGACTTGAGGGATTAACCTCTTTTAGAAGGGATTCATCACAGTTTATAAGAAAATTGCACAATTTGAGTTTAATCAGTAACATGTTATTTGTTAGGGATCAGTGGTGGGATCTGAATACCCATGTCATATAAACAACAAGTTCTAAATGGTATGGCATAGTTGCAGTTAATACAACACAAACAAATATGGTGTGGTACGAAAGCTAGCATAAAAGAGATTGATCTTTTCAGAAACTTCTGGACTAAGCCCTAGTGCAAAATTATGATGGCAGAATTTCCAGGAAATTCTGGGTCATTGCGATTCATGCCAATGATTTACATAATACATCAATCAACCTCAAATTAAACCATTTGCTCACATGAAATATGATGCCTCCCTTCTGAATTTAAGCACTCCACTGTGGATCATACCTTCAGCTGCCAAAGCACTAAAATTCTGTAGCTGCTTAGTTGTACAGGAGATGATGTTCCCAGCTGATAGTAATAATGTATGAGTCAGATTTCAGAGAAACATGACTGGATGGTGGAGGTCAGTCACTAAATACATTTACAAGAAGCTGCTAATATACTTTTTACAAAAGAATAAAATTTATTACATTTGGAAGAACTCTGAAATGGTCCTATTACAAATGCCAGAAATAAAGTTTCAACTTCTTAACCCTCAACAATCTTAGATATTCAAACCCAGGTCAGCCTGCTTCCATTTGAAAGTTATTGTTCAGTGGACACAGCTATAATTGATTTCTTTCTGGAAAACTTCTGCATTCATGCGATACAATCTTCTTTGGTTGACATCACAAACTGTTAAATAAACTGCTAACACAACTGACTTGTTCTTTTACATGTTCTTTAAATGCATGTATTCAACAGTCTTACATCTTCTTCTCTGACAACTTACAGAAATGTTTTCCAAACTGTTCCCATTCTAACCCGATATTGAGGCTTTAAAATAGTCACAAACCTTCAATGGGAACAGGTTAGGGAACCATAATCACAAAGGCCAGTTAGAGCAGCAGCACAGCTGTTTAAACTTTGTTACAGGCAAATGGCATCGATTGTTACATCAGAATTTCAGCTTGGGACCCAGCCCTAACACCACTTTGGGAAGTTATGATCAAAACCCATTGCTTCAGGAGCTTTTCTCTCACTAACTTCTAAGCTCCTTAGGACTTCTGTTTTCAGCCCTGGCTCTTTCAGAGCCTGCTTAACTGCACTGATGATATTACAGGCCCTTTTCTCTCTGAATGACCTCCTCTCTCGGAAAGAAACATGTATTTTCACTGACCTTCTGAATGATTCAGTTTTTCATGACAAAGAGCCGGTTTCTCTTTCCTGGTGTTTGGGGGATCAGAATACCCTCCAATAAGAGAAATTACAATGTTAAAAAAACCCCAAAACCACAGACATAAATGTCAACACCCTCAATACATATACAGAGTTGGGCCTGGCAGTAATGCATTCAGTAAAAGACAACAACACAAGAGGAATTCTACACTGTCTGACTGCTTTCACGAGATCCTGGATACTTAAAATGCCATTTCTTTCCACTGCCTGATGCAATCAAAAGATTGATCAATTGTATTGGAATCTGGCTGTTAGTACTCTGCATACCTTGCCAATTTCTTGGGGAGGGGTTAGGGGGAGAAAGAGAGATTCCCAAAGCCAAGTATTGTTGCAACATCATTTCCAAACAGGAGAGATATTGAGAACCATTGTGATCTGATCATATTCCCTGAATTGGTCTTCCATGGAAAATAATTGCTTGTTCTACCCATCATACTCATTTAAACTGATAGTGTATCATACTAAGGAAGATTAACTATCAGACATCATGAACAACATGGACAATTGGGAAATGTTTGATGTGGTTGTGATACGTTTTGTATAAATCATTATAATGAGAGCCAAAACGGAAGAAACTTCATTGCAATTGCAATGAAGTTCAGGTACTATCAACCTGGTTCATTTGCAATTCTCACCAGAACGATGATTGTAAATCATCAGCCAAATTAGAAGGGCAGTTAAAGGTTTAAAATATTTTAAAGTAACAAGTTAATCAAGAGGGTTTGGGTCTGAATTGATTGAGGTTGGGGCTCCGATATGGAATTTTGCCTTTATTTTTTATGTCAAGTTTTTTCTAGTACGTTTTTGTGCTTTGGTGTGAGCCAAGGCTAAATTGTGGAGGGCTTTAAATTATTAAAAGTAATCAAGGTGTTGTCATTTAAACTAGTTTAGAAGTTTTATATGAGGGTATCAGGTCATTTATTTTAATAAACAAGTTTGTGGTTGAGCTAAACCTAGTGTCTGTCCAATTTTGTACTTTATAAAATTCTAAGACCCAAGAATCAATGTAGGCGGATACTGGAACTGCTTATTGTCATAGCATACACTACTGCTTGGCAACGGCCCAATCTCCCCCTTGTGTCTCTATCCTTATTTTTTAAGCACCGAATTACCTACCTATAGGTATTTTTAAAGCCTCATTTAAATTCATATAAATGAACTTCCAGACAACCCCAGCAGCAGTCAGAATGCAAAATCTAAACTAATACCATGTCCTTTCTTTGTCATACAATACAGAAATACAAATCAAACTTATTCATGGTTCTGTCCATCGAAGTACCCAAGTTGTGAAATAACATTAATATATCATGAGTCTTCACTACAATTGCTAAAAATAGTAATGTGGCTGAATATTTCCACCTTACACTCAAGACAAACATGGGAATCCCAAAGTTTTATTGATCACAACAATATCACAGGAGAAAAAGGGTGAAAAAAGGTCAAGTTGATCTTGATTGACCAAGGTGTGGCCACAGAGAAAGCAAATGGGAACTACAGACTCCCATGCTTTCAGACAATTCAAAACAATTGTAAGTGCGGGCATGCTGCATGCTCAAGTCTTGTGGGCTTTTTGAATTATACTTGCAACTTGAGTTGCATTTCCAAAAATCATGACTAATTGTATCATTGATAACAATAGAAATCAATGTTAAAACGAGAGGGGGGGGGTTGGGCTCTGTAGAGCCTTTAGAAGAAAAACATTGAAATATTATACCTACACCCTCCAAGTTGAAATACAGTGCCACCTATATATTAAATGGATAAGTCCTTACATTGGTAAATCAAAAAACAAAATAAATTCAAAAATATAAAAAAAAGCTCTACAATACTGTTATGGATTG